TGGTCTTGAGCATAGGACATAAGCTCTCAAAGCCTCAGTTTCCTCAATGGTAAATAGAAAAAATAATGAAATATGCTCTACTTCTTTTATAGGATTGACTTAAAACTCAAATAAAATTGAGATACCGTATGTAAAGGAATTTTGAAAAATAATTTTTTAAACTCAATTTAAACATTTCAATTGTTCCCAAGACCTAGGAAGTTCAAATTCAATCTCCAAAACAATCTTTAAAAAGAACAAAGTTGGATGACTCACACTTTTAGATTCCAAAACTTGCTGCAAAGGTAGAGTCATCAGGACAGTGTGGTACTACATAAGAATAGATAAATAGATTGGTAGAATAATATTGAGAGTCCAGCAACAAATACTCATGTTTATGGTAAACTGATTTTCAGCAAGGGTCCCTAGACTATTCAATGGAGAAAGAAAGTCTTTTTCAACAGGTGGTAAAAAGTTATGATATAATCCAGCAATTCCACTATTAGGCATATACTCAAAAGAAATGTAAACATGTTTATACAATTTTTTTACACACATGTTCACAGTGGCATCATTTATAGTATCCAAAAAGTAGAAACAACTCAAATATCCATCAACTAATTAATGTATAAACAAACTGCCACATCCATACAATGGAATGTCATTTGACAATAGGAATGAATGAAGCACTAACACATGCTACAAGGTGTAGCAACTTTAAAAACATTATGCTAAGTGAAAGAAGCTAGTCACAAAAGATAACATTGTATATAGTTTTCTTTGTATGAAATGTCCAAAACAGTAAAATCTATAAAGATGGTAGATTAATTCTTGCCTAGGGCTAGGAGATGGGGTTGGGAGGGCTGAAGAAAAATGTGGGGTACGGGACTGCTAAAAGATACAGGGTTTCTTTCAGGTGTGATAAAAGGTTCCGAAATTGACTTTGGTGGTGGTTGATTATGTAACTTTGAATATACCAAAAATCACTGAATTGTATATATGAAATGGATGAACTATTGATATATGTACTATATTTCAATAAAGCTATTTCCATAAAACTACCATACATTAATAACCATATCTTGATCCCCAAATATAAAGGCCTTTACTAAATGAGAATTTACATGTAATTGTTTTTTGCTGTGACATACTCAATTTAAATATCTGAAAAAAGTGGTACAAAAGAAATAGAGGCATGCCACTTATTAAAAGAACTGAGTCAAAAATAAAATATAGTAAGAATTCCAACAATTAATATGATGCTTTATGTTATACCAAGCACTTGCACAAATGGCCCCACAGACAACACAAATAGCAAATTGGAATAAGTCATTTGCTCCCTCTCCCGATTTTAAACATAGAGATAATATGGGCCAGAGTCCACATTGTCCTGGACAGATTGGTACCTATCCCACCTGCTATGGGGTAGGAAAGCAGCAGAACCAGTCGAGTTGCAGCCTAAGGCTGGAGATTGAGTGTCACCCTGATTGGATTGAAGGATACAATGTATCAATCTTGGGTGAGTCTGTGAGGATATTGTCAAAGGAAATAAACATTTGAGTCAGTGGGCTGGGAAAGGCAGACCCACCCTTAATCTGGGTGGACACCATCTAATCAGCTGCCAGTGGGGCTAGAATATAAAGCAGGTAGAAAACAAAACAAAACAAAACAAAACAAAACAAAACAAAACAAAACAAAATATGAAAAGACTAGACTGACCTAGTCTCCCAGCCTATCTTTCTCCCATGCTGGGTGCTTCTGCCCCTGAAACACTGGACTCCAAATTCTTCAGTTTTGGGACTTGGACTGGCACTCCTTGCTCCTCAGCTTGCAGATGGCCTACTGAGGGATCTTGAGGACCTTGTGATCATGTAAGTTAATAATAAACAGCCATATATATACATATATATACCTATATATATATATCTAGTTGTTTGCTATATATATATATACGTATATATCCTATTAGTTCTATCCCTCTATAGAACCCTGACTAATATACTGATGACAGGAAATCTCCTAGCCATAGAAGCAGATGACTGGATAACCCTAAAGATTCACTTCTCCCCACCTCAATTTCTGGTCTAGCAAATATGCCAATTATTTGCATCTTTCATTACTTGGGAAGAAATTAGAAATGTGCGTGTGTGTGTGTGTGTGTGTGTGTGTGTGTGTGTGGACACATTGGAGAAAAATGCATGAACACTGAGAAACGAGAAAATTCTGAAAAATTATAAAAACAAAATGGAGATCATTTACAAAGGACAGAAAATCAAACTGACATCAGACTTAAGACAAAATTTCATATTCAATTAAACTGCCATATACATGTGAGAAACACATATTGGCAAGCATTTAAGTTCTCAAAGAGAATGCCGTACAAAGTTATTTTCTCTCGTGCATGGTCTCTCTCTCTCTCTCTCTCTCGCTCTCGCTCTCTCTCTCTCTCTCTCTGTTTAGAAGGAGTCTTACTCTGTTGCCCAGGCTGGTATGCAGTGGTGCAATCTTGGCTCACGGCAACCTCCAACTCCTGGGTTCAAGCAATTCTTACGCCCCAGTTTCCAGAGTAACTGGGATTACAGGCATGCGCCACCACGCTCAGCTAATTTTTGTATTTTTAGCAGAGATGGTGTTTCACCATGTTGGCCGGGCAGGTCTTGAACAACTAACCTCAAATGATCTACCCTCCTTGGCCTCCTAAAGTGCTGGAATTACAGGTGCAAGCCATTGTGCTGGCCCCAAAGTTTCTCTTTGAAAAAAAAAATATTTTGGAGAGTTTATCTTAGTGAAAATTAAAAGAAATGCATAAGCAAACAACTAGATATCATAGATAAAGGAGACCGAAGGAAGTTCATTGTTGTTTACATAGGCCATGATAAAGAAAGAAGTACATTCATGAGATCTGAATACAACTTCCAGGTAGTATTAATATGTAGAAGGAGAAACAGAGGAGGTTGAGAGCATGCTAAAGTATTAATTTTATTTGAGATGGTCAATGGAGGAATGTTTTAATAAGCTTTAAGCATAGGTAGGGAAAATCACTGTGAATCTTGATAAGGAAATGGTAGCTATCAGAAACATAAAAATAGAACATGCAGTATTCTGTGTAGCAGATGAAAATCAGTTTATGGACAGAAGCTGGGAAAAAGAACCAAAAGGAAGCAAAGCTAGTAACCACACACAGACACAGACACAGACACAGAGACACACACACACACACACACACACACAAAATGGGGTAGCTGAAATAAGCCTTGGTAAACCATAGTTAACGTCAGTGTTAACATCACTTAAAAAACTTAATGGAGTAAATGAAAAAATAAAAAAGCTAGCAGTTTTTTCCAAAAAGTATAGGTGTAAAGCAAAAAGATACAGTGAAATTGGAAATAAAAGAATGAAAGAGGGAATATCAGAAAATACGAAGTAAAAGTAGGAGTAGATATTTTTTAACTCTGCAAAATAAAATTTAAGGTTAAAAATTCACAATGATAAAGAAGGAAACAAAATTTGGAAAAAATAAAACATGAAAATATGATTATGAACACATGGGCACCTAACAATACATCAATGAACACTATTAATGTGCAACTGACAAACTATGGTGACACATGTGTATGTCATATTTGTTCCTTAAGCTTGTAAATTTTCTAGTTCTTTGATTATATCTTTTCTTTGTTGGTCTATGTGTGCATTACTTACATTTTTTCTCTCGTTACTATATTTTTAGCAGTATTTGAAAATATTTTACACAGATGGGGGAAAATTTATAAGAGTCCAAGAATAGTCTAAGTTTTCTGTTTGCAAATGACTTTACAAAAGTTATTTGAAGCAAGGAACCAAAATGCAATTACAGCACTTGCTGTAACTTTCATTTAATTATTCTCTGTTTTGTAAATTTTTTCTCCAACAAATATAAGACATATACATAAATTTCCTAATGTTCTAAGCTTCCATAATAACCTGTGATCTAGAGTAGTAAAAAATCAAAAACATCTTAAAAATCGTATAAAATCATGCACATCACTTTCATGTCCTCTAAAAACAGACCCTTTGAGTAGCATCCATGAGTTGTGACTTTGTCTTATTTTTTTCAGAATAACCAAAAATACTACAGAAAGAATTAATTATATTTACACCTAGGTGTTTGAAGGATTCTATTTTCCATTCCCTATTTTCCTTAATAAAAAATAAAATCTGAAAATGGCAACATAAAATTAGGCAAATAATGCCATTTTTAAAAAAGAGAATAAAATGTTTCAATTCTACAGTTTCTTAATCTTTCTATTTAAATATCTTGCCACATATAAGATGTAAATTAAAGTAATAAACATGATTAAATTAGTATGCATCATAATTCTTTGAATAGTCATTAATCAGAATTTGTGAATTTTGCTTCTTTAGGGGTTATTTTCAGAAACCACTTCGTGTATTATTTTCAGATTCTAATACCATGTTTAGTTGCATATAATGATTTCTGTTTCATCATACTCTATTTCTGCCTTTGCAATAAAGGAATGTAATAATACAGCAATTAATCACAAATGAAAACATACATTTTATATGTGAGAAACGTTCACTTTTCAACATTCAAAAATGAAGCTATGAAATTAAAATGCAACTCATCTCCACCCACCTTTTCTAAGTAAACTTTGTTAATAAAGATAGATGTGAATTGTTAACTAGGGGGCACTGCGTACTCCAAAGACTAAACCAGAGGTGCTTTGTTTCTTTGATCATACCTGTATTTTAAATTCCTTCAGCTCTTACCTGTCAGAGAAAGGCTGCCAGGTGAGCAGTCTGTCATTCTTGCCTAGGCTAATAGATTCTCCAGTGGCTTTTGTTAGAGCTCATGTCATACTATTAAAACTATGTGACTTGAAAATGGCATAACATATGTAGCTGAATCTTGTCAACTCTAGATAATCAGTCTCTGTTTGGCTTCACAAGCAGATGTAGATTAGAGAAGTAATATAATAAATATTCAAAGCATAGTGGTCCCCTTTCAGCACCACTGCTCCTACCTCCAATGGCCCTCGCAGAAACTCTGTTTGTTCAGCTCCCACTTCCAGTGCCACATCAACAGAAGCAAAGGGACGGCTGGCCATCTGCTGTCGTTCTCGAAGCAGTTGCTGGAGGGGGTTAAAAACGATTTGTCTTAAAATAGGTTTAAAGGCACAGGAAATTCAACAATATCTGGTTCCCTTTTTTAACAAATGGCATTGAAAGTTAGGAATAATATTATGCACATATCCGTATCTAGAGTACTAAGATTAAAATTGCTTTATCCCCTTGGCCTTGGTTGTATTTCCACAGAGGCTTTAAATGTACGGTGACTACAAATAACTTTTCTGCTAACCTCCATCCTGCAGGTCTCATACAGTATATTCAAAAGCACTTTGAAAGCCTTAGGTGAGAGAGGCTACTTAAGTAAAAAGTGTTATTACAATGATAGCTATGCCAAAGTTTCCCACTCAAAATAACTGATACTTAATTCTTAGCTAAAAAAGAGAGAAACGGTAAAAATATTTAAGAAAAGACAATGAAAAGTTGCCAAAATGCATTAATAGAAATTAAAGGAACATATACCTGCCAAGACTAAGTTTGGTTAAGTCATCAGGATCCCCTGTCAATTGTTGTGGAACCAGAAGGAATTACTGTTGGCAGTGTTTATTATAATTTTGTTCAAAGCCTCTGTTTATTATTCAAAATGAGGAATGATTACTAAGTTGCAGAAATTGTGTGCAAGGACTTCGACAGCATGCCCAATTACTTGTTTCTTTCTCCTTGTGCCTACTCTGGGCTTTGCCCAAGCGAAAACCAATAAAATAGCAAGTCCCAACCAACTACTAAGCAAATTTATATTTTTGCCTCTCCTTGTAATTATAATACTCATTAAGTCATGATAAGAAAAAATTGATGACCAGCACTAGATATTGCAATTCTTGCCCTTTTCATTCTAATAAAATTATTATTAAATATTAAAATAGGATGTGTGTGCAATTAAATATATCTTAAAATGAGAAGAAAAAGTATTATTGAAGAAGGGCAAAATTCATGAACACAATGAATGTCTTCATTATTCATAGAGATATATAAAGATTCTCTGGCATTCACTTAAAATGTTAACTACTATTCTTTGGATGTAGTCCTGTCATTCAACAGTCATAAAATTCCCTTATAGATGATAAAGTAAGACAAACCAAATTATTTAAACAAAAATGTATTAAACAGAAGCTTAAATAATAAACTGCCATCACAGTTTATCTAAAATTTTTGTTTTAATACCTTGTTTTTATTATTAAAAAGAGAACATTCACATAACAATATTGGATAGAAATAATGTACTGTTAATGAGTAATAGTTTAAGTTTGTAGATTATATATTTTTTGAAGTAACGAATTCATTTTAAAAATATATATTCAAAGTAAAAAGCAAATGTGACCTAAATTGCCAAATTATTCACTTTAATATACATTCAAAGTTATATTATTAAAAATAAAGCTGCTGGTAAATAGAATCTCATTTATGCCTCTCTCGATAGGAATGGGTAACTGATCTGAATAGCATGTCTGTGCAAAATGCAAACATAATGTTACTTCAAATGCTAAGGGATACAGAAGATACCAGGTTCTTTGTCTTTGGTAAAAACACACACACTAACTTGCCCAGACAACACACACACAAATAAACAATCTACCCTTCCAATAGTCAGGTACAAATAGTCTTGAGAAAATTGTAAATTTCCCCTTGTGTTTGAACACAATTGTCCAAGGTTTGTATTATAATTTTTCTCCATTTGTAGTAGTTCTCCTCAGCATAAAAATGGCATCTCACATGACAAGTGATTGTTAGACAAAATGAACAGCTTCTTTTTTCTCATCTCACATTTTCCTTATATTTAAAAGTAAAAGGTCTACAAAATATAGTTAATGAATACTCAATATCACACATAGTAATATAATTTAACAAATATTCCAAACTCACAATCTTTGACCAAGAATATAGTTCCACGGACTATAATTACTGCAATTCCCAAAACTCATAATAAAAAAAATCAGCAACTGATACTTTTGTTCAATTGTTAAATTTGTAGAATGCAAAAGTATATTTTAAAATTTTAGTTTGTTTTCTGAGCTTTGTGTTTCCATCACTTTTTAAGAATTGAATGTCTACTAAATTAACTATATAAAGAAGAAGAAAACATTGTTCTTGCCCAAGACTTTAACACTATAGTTTGTAAAGCAAGTCTGGTAAAATGGAACTAATTAGGGCACAATATAGTGTATCAGTAAAGTTACAAATAGAGAATTACACAAATAAATTTATTCTGGATCACCTAGTGGAAGACTAGTTAGAGAAGCCTTGCTGAAACAGCTGGGTTTCTGACTTCGGGAGACTAATGCAGATGTTTTTACTGTGAGATTTAGGAAGAGTAAATCATTTCCCCTGCAACACTCCTGCTTTAATGTGATAGCCCTAAAATAATCAAATGGAGTGAATTGTGATTATCACTGCAACTAATTTCTGCCCTCCTCCCCTATTCTTAACAATTGTCCTCCTTCTGGCCAATTCACAACTGGATGCATTACTTCCTGAATTTTGTCTTCTATCTCAGAACAAGGGAGAGATAGAGAAAATGCTTACAACTTGAATATGTAAGAATATAGTACGAATAATGACATGCAGTACAGCTAGGCACCGGAATGAGAAGAACCTACTTTTAAATACCAGTTTCTCCACTTTTTAGCTGTTTGAGCTTAACCAAATTATTTAGACCTCTCTAAGCCTCAATTTTTCTCGTCTATATATAATAACAGTTCCTACCCTACGCCTATACCTTAGAGGACCTGTTTTAAATCCCAGCTGTTGTACTTACTAACAATTGGGTGATAATCTAATTACTGAGACCTTTCACTCATTCCTTCTCTCTATGAAATGGGAATAGCAACAATATCTTTAAGTCATAAGGTTGAGACTAAAGAGATGATGCGTTGGTGCTGTTCAGCACAGAGGCTGGCACATCCTGAGCACTCAATAACTGCTAATTGGTACAATTATAATGTTAAATTTCAAGCACTATTTTTGTCTCTGAAGATGGCACACTAATTACCACAGGCCCATTTTCTTCAGCAATAGTGACACATTTTGCTCTACTAGTCTCCCTTTTAACAAATGTTGCAAATTTATGAGACAGTTGGAAAATGTCATTATTGTGGTAAAATGAATTTAGATTTGGAACTGCCTTCCGCCATTTGTGACTACGAATGATAAAAATTCGACCTGAAAATTAAGAAAAAATATGTAGTATTTTCCTAAGAAATTTTGAAAATGAATCTATTTTCTAGGATTGTGATTTTATATAAGATGAAGTTTAATATGTTGTACGCCCATAAGAAGCCATACAACAGATGTGTCTGTTTTATAACTGATCTGCTATTGCCAGTTATTCAGCAGAACAATAAAGCCAAAAGAACAAATTGATCATAATACAATAGATTATAATCATACTGCCATAAACATTGTTGTGAAGAAAATTTAAAAATTAAAGAGATGTTAGTATCTTATTTGTTGTACATAATAACCATTTTGCGATTCAAAATCTCTTATAAGACAAACCTTGGAATTAAAAGTGATATGAAAGTCAGGCCGGGCACAGTGGCTCACACCTGTAATCCCAGCACATTGGGAGGTTGAGGCAGGTGGATCACTTCAGGTCAGGAGTTCCAGACCAGCCTGAACAACATGGTGAAACCCCATCTTTGCTTATATATATATATATATATATATATATATATATATATGCATGTAAGTTGTCCAGGCATGTTGGAACATGCCTGTAATCCCAGTCACTCAGGAGGCTGAGTAACAAGAATCGCTTGAACCCAGGAGGTGGAGGTTGCAGTGAGCCAAGATTGTGCCATTGCACTTCAGTCTGGACAATAAGAGCAAAATTCCATCTCAAAAGAAAAAGAAAATCTATGCTTGAATTTGACAACCAGGTAGAGTCATTGATTCTATCAAATATGATACAGATAATTCTTCCACTTAATATTACTACTTCAAATATGGTATCATTCCCCAAACTTCAAACTAGCTACCTTTCCAAATACCTTAAGGCATACAACTCTTTGATAGCATTTAGAATAATAATCCTTAAAAATACACATACATAAAAACAAAGTAATAACTAACTATGCCTGCAATTGTCTTCACACCTCCTACTACATGACTCTTTTGTATAGGTTCCCTATCTATTCTCTCTTCCACCTTCAAATGTCCTTCTATCCCAACTCAAGTTTGAAATAATCACCTCTCCTATGAATTATTTGTGATATTAATATGGCACTAACTCTTAATGTCTCCATGCTTCCCTGGGACCTTCTTTAAGGCAAAAGTCTATTTTTTTTTTCATTCCACACAATACTTAGTTTATAGTCAATAGTGTCTGATGAATGAACAATGAATGGGTGAATGAAGTATAGCATAAAAATCTGTTTTGTACAAATGCAGGTAAAACAAGTTATGATAAAACCAATTCTATGAATAAACTTTTAAAACTCTTATATATCCTTTGATATTCTAGAATTTGTGTCTTATCCTTGAAAGTAGGTAGACATTCATTTTTTTCGAATGAGGATGTTTTGTGGACTTGTCTTTCAAATCAATATCAGATTTCATATTGTTTTTCATCATCTAGCTTATTGTAATACTGCAAAGATCATAGAAAAAAACTGTCATAAAGTCATCAAAATGCGTTAATATTTCTAACAGCAGTTATATTCAAAAATATTTGGAAAGGTATAAAAAGAGCACTTATAATGATTTTGTCGTTAGTTTTGAGCTATAAACTAAAAGCCTCTGAATTAAAGATTATACAAGAATTCATGAAATAAGAGGATTTCAACACAAACATATTTAACATAGAGTGATACAAGTAAAAAATTGATTTTGTTCTTTTGGTGTTAGGATGGTGTAAAGAAGAAAAGAGAAGTGGCAAGAACTTTTGCTAACATTAAATTAGAAAAGCATGGTATTCTACCATTTTATATAACTAAATCTTCAAGGCACAAGGTTCAAATTCTTGTTCAGAGTAATACTGGAAATCTTTTGCTTTCAGTCATCCAGTGTG